TACATAATCTTGGTCATCCACTACTGCTGAACGATTGCTGACAAATCTACCTCGTACACCAAGTTGAGGCTTAACGCTGCCTAGTTTAGAAATGCTAGTCCTGATGCTGTGCTTACGCCTAACCATGATGTTACTGTGAGATCATGCGAATATGGTTGATGTCTACTGACATAGAATAGTATTTCATGAGACGTTGAAATAGAGATAGCGTTGTCACACAGATGACCTCGGCGAGAACACGTATCCGATGAGTTTGCAAAATTTTGGGCACTGTAATGGGTGTAAATAGGGTAAATTACCCGATTTTAGTGCATTTGGTCAAATCTGAGATGCCAAATTTATCCCTATACGCAATACCAAAAATCCAACCGGATATCTTTTCAGGACGTTGAGAGAACGTCATAGCCGTCGAAAAACCCCGATTTAGTTGAAACTCTTAAACTTGAATCAAAATTAAAGGAGTTGCCCGGTTTTTACAAGTGTGCACCATAGTTTGCAATATTCAGAAAGGGCGCGATACCGTTGAAAAAGCTTGATAGTTCCTCACCACTTCATCAAAATAATTTGGGTCCGTCACGCTATCGTTGATGACAGATTTTCCCCATTGCAGACTCCATTTACGTTAATCTTTAAATTGCATTTATTGGTGTTAAAATTGGTGTTAAAACTAAAAGAATATGGATTGAAGGAAAATTCGTGCTAATATTCATGTCGCGCTTGCGAAATAGCCTTGACACTCTGGAAGGATAGAGAGTTCTGGGTAAGGATCCAAATAAAATATTAGATTTGTTGGTCAGCTGGTCCGGACCCGGAGCATCAAATATTTACTACGGTAGTCTATCGCCTTTTTTTTAAAAATACGTTCCCTGAACAATTGCTGTATGTATGGCTGATACTCTCGTCACAAGGGTTAAAATACGATTTGTAATACAGTATCAACAAATATACACATACAAAACATCCAATCGCGACTGGCCCGTATACTCCTTAACACCTAATCTACCATACTACAACAGGTTGACCATGTCCCCCTCCCTATAGTCTGTTTAAATGCACCAGATGTCTCTATGGAAGACAGCTTGTCTACGTGTATCCTTGAGCCAGATACATCCGTGAAAAGTACAAGTGGCAGTCTCTAGTCCAAGCACACAAGAAAACACAATGCACGATCAACATCTTAGTATTCTCGAAGATTTATCAACTCATCAATTAGTTGTTGATGCACACACAACAATAGGCAAATTACTGATCAGGTCGCAAACCTGTCGTTCGATTTCAAACATACACCAGGCTTTTTTAACACTCAGGACCAAGATATTGAACGAATACTACAGCAGTAATCTAACACCTTCACTAAACATGATCACTCTTTTATGCATGTCGATCCCGTGGAATTAGATCTCACTTCTAAGAAACCAATACGAACCAAGCAATCCAAACTTTCTCATGTACATATCTACGAGTAAACGGTGGAACAAATATCACAACAGAGGTCTGACACCCTTATAGTTCGCCCATTTTACCGAAAACGGACGCTCAAGCACATTAATACAGATTCGTGAATGGTTTTAGACTTCTAAACAATATGAACAAACAATATTGTTATTCTTGATTCATAAGAGTACGGCACTTCAGACCATTTTCAGGCTGCAAGTAATTCGCCTATTTAGATGTATCCAATTATTTTTTGGCAAATTGCTGTTTCTCTCAAATCATCGCGATATCTCGCATTCTCATCACCTATTCGTATTTGCACCGCTAGTGGTCTCACACAAGACGTATTAGGCTACCTCGATTTAAGCAAGTGTGCACTGCCTTTCATAGTTGAAGTAGAAGCCTGTGAAGTATCCGAAGTTTGCACCCTAATTTAATACCAACCAAATTCTCAAGGTGATTTTCAAGAAAGAACAATAGCATCTTATTTCCGTACATTTTCCGCTTATGAGCCCAAATGAGGAAGTATTGAAAAATAAGTCCACGGCTTATTTTGGAGTTCAATAAGTACGTGCTACCGATTTGTGCATGCCTCACACCCTTTCTTACTATACGCAAACCACAAGTCCAAGCTCACTTTCAGATTTTCTCAAAATACTTCCGAGCGTCTCATGTGTTGGGCCCTCAAATTGCAAGATTATAACTTGACGGTCGGTATACTAGTGGCACATATCATCTGCTAGCAAATGCAGATGGTCGACTTGGTGACATTGCCAAAATAAATTTTCTCTATATTTTGTCATATACCACTCATGACTTGAAACTTAAATCCTTGGAACTTCTTGTGCACACAGACACTCCCCCAGACACTCCCCCAGACATAGCACTCTATATGAACGAAATATATGCACATTTTCCCCTGCAAATCAATGTACTGAGACACATCCGCCCCCAACTACACAGAACTAGTACGGCTCAAGCTAATGTCACGCACAAATACCGCCTCATCCGAACAACAAAACTACACCACAAAACAGTTGGCTTCACATCTAGATATGCAGCCAACTGTTATTTTGTCTCTGACGGCGTGCAGCAAACTGACCTAGGTATGTTCAAAGTTGAAACACATATACCGCAGTCACTATAATGGGAATGGCCGATGTTATACATGTTGGCTGCGTATGACTAGGGATGTTGAGAATCATGTCCGTTCTTGCAAACATGTCTACTTAAATAATCCGTAACATCTCTAACGACGATTGCCAGTCTTAAATAAAACATTGTCCAACAACTTTTTCGAACAATGAGCTGTGGAAGTTTCTGGTCCATTCACAACTAGCACAAAAGGTAACAAATATAGCATAACCTTTTTTGACCACAATTCACTTTAGTCCGAAGGATTCTGTACCCCAGTTGATTCAGCTGCAATGACCGCTAACTTGTTTATTAATCATATCATATGACGGCATGAGTTTATCAACCATGGTTTCCGATCGCTGGATGAATATTATGTCACAACTGGTCAAACAAGTTTGTGTCAATTTTAATATCGGCATCGTAAATACTTCCTCTTACCACTCTCCAGCCAATGCCCAGGTCGAGGTATTGCATCGCTAATACAATCCATAGATAGCGGAATATGTCAAACATACCGACTGGGATGTGGTATTCCTATATGTCAAGCACGCATATCGGGCACATATATATAGACTACAGGCATTATGCTTTATACCATCGCATACGGCCGGGAACCCGTCGAAGTTTTCGATGTTACACTTACATCTGAGCCAACTTTGAGTAGTGACCCCGCTTATACTTCGATCGTCTCGTTGTTCGACATTCGAAGATTCGTAAGTATTTTCCAGCTCGATCACCACAAGACCTCGAGGAGAAACGTAAAGCCCGACCAAAAACTTGTTCTCGCTCGTTACTGCATTCTCCCTCGCAATATGGGGTTGACTAAGAAATAACTAAATCATTGACATAGACTTCTCGAAGTAATTAATATCCATGGTGACACCACCCACGGTACTCGAGATCCAGTTATCAAATCTATTCACACATCGATTTTAACGATCTGAAAGTTAACTATCCCGGTGGCCCTGGTATATCTGATTTCGAATACTCCCTCTCTCCCCTTGAGTTGTGATACACATGGTAGTAATGTAGATAATATTGTCGATGAGGATATCTGCATTCTCGATCGTCGCAATGAGAGTATCGCGAAATATGACCCAGATCTGTCTGATTGAACTAGTGAATGCCCATATAATCCAATTTGGTGTTCAGTAACTGATCTGGCCTGCAAAGAACTGATTGCCGCATTCGATACTTCCAGACGTGCAGATACTATCAACCACTACCACAGTGCTCGGCACACCGTTACCAATACTAGACCGCCTTCTGCAAATTGCAACCGATAAGGGGGTTGATGGATGTTGATTGTCCAGACCAATCGGCATCTTTTGGATCAATTATACAAATGGATGTAATTGATCTGACATTCGCAAGTATATAACCTGGAAGAGTTGATACTACAGCAAGGGCACTACGCTCTGTCCAACATAACTCGTATGCTTCGGCATAACTCGCCTAAGAAATCGTCCGATAAAAGCTCAGTGTCATCATGATACTCATACCTTTGGAAAATGATGTAGAACTAAATTCTATATTAGTATAATATCATTAAATTGATTAATGATCAACTTGAACGCAATTCATATGTAGTATACAATCTTGAAAAAATTCTTTAAAGCCGAATATGTGGAATTTTAATACCTAGCGCTCGTAAATATACATCGGTTTGTCTCTCACACATACATAGAAAGATTTATTGTTCTCCGACTATACGCTACTGTATTGGAAAACATAACAACAGCCAAAGATATCTGAATTTAATGATGACTCGATGCACCCGACGATGGGTCCTAGCAATATTATACGCACATGCACGTGCTCGTGCACTCGTGCACAGGAATAACAAACATAAACTACTGAAAAACAAAAAACGAATACAATTAACTAATGGCGTACAACGTTGTCGAATCTCGAAATGAATCAATACAAGGCAACGGACGTACTATCAGAAGAGCACAAAATGAAGATTGACGAAAACCGATTGAAATACATATTGACGGAGTCCCCATGTTCGGGTTTGACTGACATACCTACAGCAGACGATATAGCATAACTTCTACTAACACTGTACAAACGATCACAAAAATACTATGGTTCACGTTAAACTTGATGTCAAATGTTGTACAAGTTGCGAATTTACCCAACTGCAAGACTCTTGTTAGTGTTAATGATACAAAATATATCAAAATAACCTACTATTTAAGTACGGAAACGTGAAAACAATTTGTAATTCGTATTTTTCCGATTTGTGCGAGTAATAATTTTGCAAACAACATGTTTATTATCTACATAAGAATTCGGTACTCGATGGTCCCTTATTTAAATTGTGTCAACTTGGTTTATCAGGATTTAAGAAAGGTATACTGTACAAGTAAACATTATGTAAAAAAAATCGTTCCAGGATATTCATAACAATATAAATCACTTTTATGGAACGTATGATACATTAGTTCGTCTGGCACATCTTCCAAATACATTTTTCGAATACAATTCGCTCCAATAGCCCCATATATGGTCCAGTGAGGCAGTTCTGTAGTATATTAAAAATATTGTCAAATATTACTTTTGTGCGCGAATTACATTGTGTTACTGTCATTAATTTATTGGATACTGATTCCAAGTATGGATATACCCGTTTCCTAGCTGTGGGACCTGCTGTGGTGTATACTTTGTGTATCGATGAGTCCTTGTATCGAGGCGGCGTATTTAGATTACCAAGGCAACTAAATCAGTCGATGATCAACAGATAATGTTGCGAAACAGATGGTTACTACCAAAAACAATATACCTGCGAGCTATACGAAGTAGCATCGCTTTTAATGTTACTGACCCCATTGTTGGGGCACAATCAAAATTACCTGAAATACAAATATACAACAGGGACTCAAGCACAATATATCAATTGCTTGATGAACAACAAAAGAAAATTCACATATCGATATTCACCATGCGAATACTCTACTGAATGACTATGTTCAAATAAGTCTCATGTATAATTGTTTTCCGTTGTTATTCCCAACTGGTGATGTAATATTTTACCACAAGACAGCACATTACCACTTCATTTTCTCCGCTTTTACTGGGATATAAATAAAACCAATTCAGAATTCATTTAGGTTTGTCATTCTTAAACCGTTTATGAAAATCGATGGCTAATAATGGAGCCGTTAATGGTCCCACATTCAAAACCAATTTTGAATTGGCTACAAAGATGCCAAAGAATTATATTGCTTTTTACGGCAGAGCTGTACAAAAGTTGAAAGATGCGACTTTTTGTACTCCCTCTTCAAACAGCCCAGCGCTCTAGGATGGCAATTAGAGATAGCGAGTAGAAAAGCCTAACGCACGAGGGCGTAGTGTGCTAGCAATTACATACATATATGATACTATTGTATGCTATACGTATAAGTAGTGGGTGTTAAAAACAAACACATTTACACTCGCTCACACACTACCGGAGTAATATTAGGAAATAAAAAACAATATATGATTAATCCAAGCAAACACACTCTAGCAATGAGGATAGCAGTTTGCGTATCAATCTCGGCGGTCTTCTAACCAAGTCACTTAGTAACGTATTCACAACACCTGCTACTGCCGAACCCACCGACGGAGATCCAGCCATAACGGATATCGACACCACGCAGGGTAGTACCAGCTCATCACACAGGATACCACCACCACAAGGAGTGCTTAACCACGCAGAAACTCTCCGTGAATTAGCTTATCACGAAGTGAACCTAACAAAGATAGCGAAGAAACTCGGCTACCCCGCCCCTCAGGCTATTTTTTTCTCTCTCTACAACACCTAATTCTAGTACAATTAATACTATCACAACTACCACCACCAACGCAACTCCTCCAGATAGTTCCACACCAAAACCAAATCCCACCACATCAACAGGTGAGAAGTCTGCTGCGATATCCAGCGATGATGTTCAAAACTTGATTCATCAAGTACATCGACAGAATGCCTCGATCGAACAACTGAAGGGTACTGTCTCAGTCCTCTCCCACCATGGTAACGAAACGAAGACCCATCGCACAGTGAAAGGCACTTCTACTTTACTGGCTACGCTGGGACAGTCACTTCCGGAGGCACTCGAGGCCAAAACAATCAAAGGTAAGTTGTCGTTGGCAGAGACCAAGAAGAATAACCGCCCTCTTGCAAACTCTAATAACGACAACGTTATACTAGCCTTTACTGAGAGTACTGTAAGTCTGCGCAATAAGCGCGAATCATTCTATTCAGCAGCGGATGTTATGCATGCATCACTACTGCGCTTTGGTTATATGTGGCGCTTTACACCTAATTTTAGTACCGACGAACCCGCTATTGACGATATGATCGCCTACGTTATACTTATGGCTGGCTGGTCAAACACACACACCCCAGAGAGTGTAGCTCGTTTTGACGAAACACTTCTAGTACCGATAGTCTCATACAACGAGTTCACCCAATACGCATTGCTACTCCCACAATTGCTTGCTACATTTCTTATCCTAGATGCTAATCGTCGCCCGAATGCGACATGTCACCGCTGCCTGTTTGAAGCTCGTTTCTGCACATGTAATAACAGTAACAAACGCTCGTATGTGTCGCAATATCGTGAGTGTTTCGACTTCAACTCGGCACGTTCATGTACACATACGGGTTGTCGTTTCTCGCACGCATGCTATGTTCCGGGTTGCATCACACCCAACGCACATGCTGCCCCAACCACGCTTGAATCTCTCAGGCACATCGTAATCAAGTACATCCACACACATACACTTCAACAAATAAGTTTCTTCACCACCAGTTACGTCTACGCCCACATCTACTCGAAACCTCTCACAGAACGAGGCACACCCTTTTATATTAGCAAACACACGCCAACGCCCACCTATAGTACCAAATCATCAACGTATTATTCACCTCCTCTCCAAGTTCAAATATCCGGACTCAGAGAACGCACAAATGCTAGCAGATATCTTCGCCAATGGCGCATCAATTGGATTATCAGGTCCTTTACCAAAGGCCTTATATAGAGAACTACCATCTGTTAGTGAGCATATACCATGGCTAAGAGCCTCTGTTGAAAAAAAAACTGGAACAAAACGTACTTATCAGCCCTTTATCATTATCCGAAGTACGTACATACTCATATTACTACCTATCACCTATCGGGGTTCTATCTAAACTGCGATCCGGCGGCTCTCTCAAGCCCCGTCGCATTCACCACTTATCTTACCCTCGTCACTCGAGTATCAGTTTTAAGATAGCATCCAGCGAACTCAGCTATATCAAGCTCCGTTAAGTACTTGACGATGTAGCTGTCGCACCCGTGGGATCAACGTTGTCAGTAGTGGATATTCCAGCGGCCTTCCGCTTGGTTCAAATTCGGCCTCAAGATATACCGTTGGTCGGATTCGTGTTCGAGCACCATGCATATTTCGAGCGGGCCCTACCATTGATCTACATATGTAAGATTCGGCCTATCAAGGCGATATTAACGCCTTAGAGTAATTAAACGCGTAGGTAAAGTCTAAGTATCGTGAAATTCAAAGTAAAGAAACGAAATGAGTCTTTTAGTAAAGTTAGGTATGCCTCGTGACAACAGCAATACTCTGAGGGATTGTGAGGCTGAGACATTGACTATATATAATCCTCTCAGTACTGTTTTCGCCGAAGGGATTTTATTTAGTGTTTCGTTGTCGCTCTATTAGAAACTATGGTATGTTTCGTTGGGGCGAATCCGAGAGACTCATAAAATCCTAACTTTAGAAAAAAAATTAAAACAAAAAAGAAAATTACTCTTGATGTCCATAGTTAGTGCATTAACCAATAACTTGCCACTTATCAAGAATTACCGACTTAGCCTTCATCAGACTGGCACATCTGGTTGGCTGATCGGAGGTTAAACTAGGTAACGCTAATAGTCCCTAGAAAGCTATATTCGGTTGCGCCATCTCGCTACCGAAGTATTCAGATATAAATAGATTTGGAAAGTAAATATAGTTCTATTAATAGAACTAGACCAAATCTTATATTTGGTATTTTACTGGGGCCTTTTAATGGCCTTGTCCAAGTATCTGATATGTAAAATGGAAAAGCGTTAAACACCATTTAGGAAACTTAAGTTCCCTGTACTATTAAGAGCACGTTTATAGTTTACGTACTGCTTAAGAGTACGTTTATAACATAGATTTTAATGTGGAGGCCCGGCTATTACACGTAGTAGTCCACAGATCTTTGAGTGCCTGGGCGCCGCTCTCGATTTTATCTTTCTATCTACAGGCTTGTGTCTCCGCCGCTTCGTTGACGATTTCCTGGCGATACATGGTCCTGGTAGGGGCAGACAAGAAGCAGCCAAGATCTGCGCACCGTTTGCCTTCCTCGACATCTCAATCGCCGTTGAGAAGTCCGCAACCTCAGTTACTGTAACGGGATACATTGGTGTTCTTAAATATATCAGGGCCCGTACGGTTGACCTTAGCGCCCATAAGTTGCGCTTGTACAAATCGCTGCTGCACGGATGGCGCTCTTGCACAACCGCAACCGCTCATGACATCGCCTCGCATATTTCCACAAGCACTACCGTATACTTCTCGAATTTTCTAGCTGCCACGTCATAACCCCTCTCACTACAAGCACATTAGAGTTTCGGAGGAAGTACGCCACGATATTCGTTCTTGAATCCGTATACTCGACAGATGGACCGGTACATCCCTTCTCGTTTGCCCTGCCATTGCAATCACAGTTGCTGTGGATGCGTGTACGTCGATGGACGCAGGAGGTTTGATCTCCACAGGAGAATGTATTTTCTACAATGGAAGGAGCATCATCATTACCCTACCAACCAGGGCGGCAAGCTCTTTTCCATCACTGCACTGAAACTCCTGGCGATTGTGTATATGACCGACATCTTTGGATCGCTTTGGAGAGGTCGCAGTATCCTCATTCTCTCCGATAACGAAGGAGCGGTGGCGAGCGTGACGTCACGCACCTGCTCGATCGCAAAAATCCTGAGTCTTGCATGAAGCCACATTTGCAGCCAACCTTCGACTACAGTAGCATTTACGCATCTTTTATCATTAATAAATATTTTGTATATAGTCCTCATAACGCTTCTGCACAACCTTACATCACCGTGTAGGGCACTTCAGCACTTTGCCGTTTGCTTCGGACATCAGCGTGTCAACTGCGCTCACTCCAGCAGTAACAGGCGAACCGCTACGCCATTTCTTACAAGAGGTTATCCAATTAGCTACGGCTGCGTCGACTCGTGCAAGCAGCAACACTGCACAACGACATTTTAATGATTTAGCTGTGCACGAAGGCTTGATCTCCGCGTCGGATAATCTGGCAGGCACTCTCCCAGCTGGGGAAGGCAAATGGCTTCTTTACATCAGCTGGTTAGGGATGCGGGGGTATCAACCTGGCCCCATTGCTTCGTACATGTCTGGTATACGCCGAATGTACAAGATGGCAGGCGCAGACCATTCAGCATCCCAAATTCCTGTCTAATTCTGCTGCGGAAAAGTATAAAACGCTGGTAAGCTGAACGCGGTCTATTGCGCATGAAACGTGAGCGCGGCGGTATTACCCCCAGCCTACTACTATTACGTTTCAGCCCTGCGATCACACGTTACGCGAATAATATAGAGTGGATTCGCGTTTGGACCATTACACTGCTTGGTGTGTTTTGTCTGTTTCGCAGCGGTGAATTAACGACTCACCCGCACCTTCAACCCTAATCAAAGTTTATTCACGTAAACCGATCAAGGATCCGTGTATTCCCTGATCATATATTACTAACACTTCCTTCATCCAAGACTCAACAATGCAGGCCCACCACAGTTATCTGCCCGTATCACCACTTACTATTATGACTCTCCCTCACAACCAACGAGCAAGCTGACAGTCACCTCTTCTCCTTGAATAATGTAGTGGTGTGGTTATGAAGGCCGAGTGGTCGCGAAAATTCAAATACCTGGTCAAGGCAGCAGATTTGGACCCCAAACTATACTCTGGACATTCCCTGCGCATCGGAGGTCTGTCCGCCTTGAAAGAGTCTGGTTTATCGGACAGCGATGTAAAGGTTCTCGGGCGTTGGACATCGGATACCCATCTAATTTACTGGCGCCTCTCGGAGATCGACCACGCACGCATAGCGTGCACATACGTTAAGTCTCTGCACACTGCACAAGCACAATGCACAAGTGCGCACACAAAATAGGCGCTCTCGCCGAAGCGTGCGATTCATTCCTCATCGCACTGAACGTTTCAAGCCTTGAGAGAAGCTCGAAGCGCAACATTCGGGTGGCGGCGCTCGCGGAAGTTCGTCCGAGCTTGTGTGGGCATGATGCAGACAGCGCGTCTGGTACATCATGTGCGCACGCTCCACACAAGCCTCACAGCAAAAACAACAGATTTCAACGCTCTTTGCTCCCCCATTTAAAGGATATTAATGAAAGTAGGCCATTATCTAAATAGGGATTACCTTCTTTCGACGTAAAACAAGTTTCAACCCGCTTAGTTTACGTCCAAACGCGATATCGCTTTATTCTTTGCCAGACGCCGCCTTCGCCCCAAAACCGTCACTTCCCATTTCCGAGGAATAAATGAAGGTACTCTTTTCTGGTATATGAAGCGGTACGTTTCTGGCATATTGACATTTATTCTGTGCATCATTTTTTTTGTTCAAAACACAAAGAGAAGGCCAAAATCAATCAAAGGTACAGAAATGCATTGTTCTGAGGGGCACAGAAACTATAACATGGATGACGATGAAGCAGAGATAGTTATCCGTTTGAGGTCACAGGCTATAACATGGATGACGATGAAGTAGAGATAGTTGGAGGTCTCAGAGACTACAACATGGATGACGATGAAGCAGAGATAGTTGTCCGTTTTGGGTTACAGGGACTACACCATGTATACTGGACAATAGGATGCACAGAAACTACAGTACGGAAGTGATAAATTTATATTATGCACCGGACATATAGTACAACAAAATCGTCGATGGGATTGATATTGTTGTCCGTTTTGGGGCCACGGAAACTACAACTACGATATGGATGACAACGAGACTGAGATTATTGTCCGTCGTGGGGCCGCAGGAACTTCAACTACATCATCGACGGGATTGAGATTAATGTCCGCCGAGACCACAGGGACTACAGTTCCCACTGGTCATATTTGAAAGATTTGCCCACGTTGAAAGTAAACTTTTGAAAATGTGCCAAAAGTAAAAGTCGAAATTAAACGCCGAGGTGACACGGCTCTTTTTATTCCAAAGTTGAAAATGGACGCTTCAAAATAATAAAAATCCAGGATATACATTGAGGTGATCTATACACACTTACCACTCCGATGGTGCAGATCGGGTTTGATTGATCAAGCTTTCCGTTTTAAGAGCAATAGTCTATTTTAATTTTCTGTGCATGCCATTCTGCTTACTATTTTTTAGTAGAGGAAAAGTTTGCGATTCTGCAGTTTATGAGCAGCACGGATTATAGAGTGGATATAGAGGTTTCTGCAAATCTGTCGCATGATTATTTTACACACCAGAGTTTATTTGAAATTGTTGTCATACCTATTTTATATTGCCTGATGTTTCCTGGCTGTGTGACAGACGCACGGAAATATCAATTAAAGACATTGTAGATCTTGCGCTATGTATAGGTATATACTCTGTGACAGTACGCTCCCCTATAGATACCTTCAGATCTGCGCCTCCCTGATATTGCCTTATCTTTTATTTTGTATTTTGCCAATCTTTTCTGTTACCGGATCAGACAGTTGACCCTTTTCGAAATTACACCTGCGCGGCGATAATGTAAGCACGACTATCTCTTACAAGCACGCGGGCATAACAATGTACAAGTTTAGGCACGTAACTTTCCAGGATATCGAAACTCCGGGCAAAGTATATCGTTGATGTCGCCATGACCGCTCGTCAGCAGTGTATATGAGCAACAGATCGTGGGTAGATATTTCACGCCGGTATAGTTACGGATGTATGACCGTATCGGTCTTAAAAATTGCGAGCGCCGGAGAGGTTAACCGAATTCAACATGATATCGCCATTTATATGTACAAAATCAATTTTACACAGCTGGTTTTAGATGTATTTCCCTCCATCAGGTATTCCTAACAGCTGTCAGAGTGTCAGTCAGTAACGGTTTAATGACCCAGCACGTCAATTCCTCTGTTCGGTTACTATCTTGTGACTTGGGGAAAGGATCGTTTAATATGTTGATACACACGTCACGACACGAGGTACGCCAGTAACAGTGGTAGGACTCCATCACAAACCCTACAGTGCTAACTCGCAACTCGCGAGGCTTACAAGCGAAACCAGTTTCCCGATGCCCTGGAACGGGTCATCTGTATCAAAACAACGAGAATAAATATTGCTCGCAGTCGAAGTAAAAGTCTTCAGCTGAACAAAGCTCGTATCTTGTACAGTGAAATTTCTTGTGCTTTGCTGACACTTATACTTCAGCCTTACACTAGTTACCCTTTCCCGCCTTAGCAGCCAGTACACTCCTCTTTATAGAACACAATACAATAACAGTTTGTCTACTCAACAATAATGCATCTATCTCACCATAGGTAGAATATGATTCAACCACCGAGCCTCTCATAGCACTTTGTTCACAGATGAAAGCTACTTCTCCACAAGCACTACATTTTGACTCGCCACATTCTCTCCCCAGGCCATCGTTTCTGTGCACACCGAGGTACCAATAGCACGAACCTTTCAATACATTAAGTCAATGACCTATAACAATGTATACAATCTGGATGACTACAACACATTTTCTCTCTGTTAAGGTGCTTCTGGCCCGTTACCCATGAATAGCAGGTGCGCTTCCACGTACAGCCGTCGTCTCATTGTCCCACTCAATGTCCACTTAAGGCATCGGTCAGTGAACGTTTTACTCGCTTGCAGACGAGGAAATGATACAGCGAGACAGGAGACACTAGTCACAGCCTTGTGAGACAGATTCTGATTCGTGACACTGACATACTCCCACCCCTTCATCCGTACCCTCTCAAGCTTTCCTCACAAGTACCATCTGCTCTTCGACATACGCCTTCAGCCCTGATTCGCCTCCTTCCCTACCCAGGCCACTTTCCTTGTGTCCGCCGAAGGGGTCGGTAGCCGGTAAATCCAAATGCTTGTTGACCCACATCATACCACTGTTGAGTTGCATACCGACATCCACGCAGTGATCCAGGTCTGTGCCCCATACGCTGGAGCCGAGGCCAAAGCGCGTGTTGTTGGCTCGCTCGATGGCTTCTTCCTCTGTGGAGAGACAGCATTAGGCAGGTGAATATTTGATATAACAGCACATTCTTGTCACCATCGAAGACCACTTCACTCAGTCATCCGTGATTGTAGTTTTATGTGATTGGAATTGTGATGGACTTGAGCGGATAAAATACGCCACGAGCATGAAGGAGAGAAAACTCCCTTTGTCGCCGTGCGGGATATTGTCTACACCCACCAAGCTAGCATTTAAGAATCCCAAATACGCATAAAATACTTCTGGTCTTGCCAAAAGTGGAAACCGAGATAGGGCCCTTTTACACCCACTTGTTTGTGATCGTCACACGACTTATACAGCGGGAAAATAGAGCGACAAACAGAGAGAGAAGCACTCGATCGCAACGTATGACTTGTCTTCTATAACTCCCAGAAGTCTCTCAATGATACACACAATACAAATGTTTATAGTCAAAACCCCCGAGCACAAGCCCATGCGTGGACACACATACAGAAAAACAGAGAGTACACAAAACAACTGGAGAACCACACACTGGTGAAACGACGTAAGGGTGCACCTGCAGCTGTGCCACACTTGGGACCCACCTGTATCGTACGCGAGGATTGGCAGGACAGGACCGAACTGTTCCTCAGAGACAATGCGAGACTCGTCGTCTACCCCACTGACGACTGTGAGCGGGAAGTGGTAGCCGCCCGCACCCGACAAGTCTGTTGGCAGACCACCACAGTGCACTGGGAATACAACAAGGAGGTAAAGGTATGAGGATGAGAGGATATGAGAATATGAGGAGCACACAACGGATGTGTATGAAAGATACATATATATACATATATACTACAGGGGGCATTGGGAAACACAACATGTATGAGTGTGCAGGGAATGTCTGTGTGCATGTTCTTTTGTAACTGAGAATGCTTCCTGGAGGTACCTGAAAAGCACGTGCACTCGGTGTTAGTGATAGCTTGAGTGTGATATGTCAACAACAGCGGCAGAAGGTAATACACCGTATGTACAACTCTGGCGAAGGTCTCTTCCATGACCTCTACATCTACCGAGGCATCCGCACACACAAGCAGGAATCTAATATTCAGAATTAGGTAACTCAACCATCGATATGTGTACCATAAGATAACTCATGCATTAACACACAAGCAGGAATCTAACATTAAGAATAAGGTAACTCAACCATCGATACGTGTACGTAAGATAACTCATATGTTGACGGGTGAACAATATATTTCAACCACACACCCAACACAGCACTAAGCCATCCCATAGTAGACGCCGATTTCTACTGTTAATCGTCCAGTAATGAGTGCACCCACTAGCCCACACCACACACAATACAAGCGCGTGCACTCAGCAGCCGATTGACGGTACCAGTATTCCTAATACCAGCGATATCCAGTAGCAATTCAACCACTTTGTCTCACATGCCATTCAATCACCCTAAAGAGTGATAGAAAAAGTAGCCGGTAGTAGCCACCGCCTCGCACTACGAAATCAACTGGCAGAGGCAATGGCCCTGAACCAGCGGTGTGCTTCACTCACTCAGTTGCCTTACCATTGATTGAAAATACCTGTAGCCCGGAAACCTACAGTAACTGTAGTACAACCCACCCCTTTATGCTACAACTAAACCGAAGATGCCCGTATCCCGTAAGCATTTAGACTATACAAATCTATCAGCACCACCAGTAGCATCACGTAACAACCCAGGTACATTGCACGCCACATCCAATTAGTTAGCCATACCCGTCGCCCCGTTTGCAATAGTATCCTGCAACAGCTCGGTCACCTTGTTGAACTGCATCTTGTTCTGTAGTGGCCCGTGTGTTGTAGCCTTCTCCTGCCCGTCGCCCACAGTGGCGGCCTGTGCAAACCCGCTGATGCTCTCACAGAACTCGGCGTGTAACGCACGCGGTACGTACACACGCTTAATAGCGCAGCACACCTGCAAGCAGGAAACCAATACTTGCCATCACTCGGGTGCCATCAACGTAGACGGGGTAGGGAAAGTTCAGAGCGAGAATAGGACAAACCTAGAACGAGAATAGAACAAACCCAGAACGAGAACAGGACAAACCCAGAACGAGAATAGGACAAACTCAGAGCGAGAATAGGGCAAACTCCGAACGAGATCAAGACAAACCCAGAACGAGAATAGGACAAACCCAGAACGAGAATAGGGCAAACTCAGAACGAGAATAGGACAAACCCAGAACGAGAATAGGACAAACCCAGAACGAGAATAGGACAGACCTAGAACGAGAATAGGTGGTATGTCGCAAACGATAGTCATAGGGTCTTACTACTTATAACAGACTCCTCTCCGAACATCGGCCCCTCACAGACCACTGGTATCTCATTCGCGTTACCTGTCCCGTGTTTGCGAACGCTGTGGAGAAGATGCCCTTTGCTGCACGGGGCACATCGGCATCGGCCAGTACGATGGCTGGGTCATTGCCACCCAACTCGAGTGTGCACCGCTTCATGTGGTCTGTGCAGGCCTTGCGTATGGCCTTTCCCGTGGGGACTGAGCCTGTGAACGAGATCTGTTTGTAGCAATTGCAGTGTATATGAGAGCCGTTTGGTTACGCGTGGGGCGTGCGGGGTGATCGCGCAGGATTAGCCGGTGAGCACGTGCATGTGTTGAAATGTATATATGTACCGGCATATCAGAATAAGCATCGTAATATCCGTGTAGCTCTCGCCGGGCCTAAAGCACTAAAGATTCCTGCACCTTCCCTCCATGAACTCATACGCACGCATGTTCAAGGGTGATATAAACAAAACAGGATGGGTGCCAGTTCACAATCATGTATATTCCATTAACAAAATAGTCGTTAGATCGGTGTCGTATGAATTCAGCCAGTGGGTATAATAGTCAACGTATACGGGGATAGCATACAATTATATATATATATATATATATATAATTATCTGTAGACGTGTGTGTGCAATCATCTACACTCACCTTAGCGATATCTGGATGCGCCACAAGACGTTCACCTATGTCGTTGCCACCAGCAATGACATTGACCACACCTGGAGGGAAGCATTCGTGGATGATACTGCCCATCATCAACGAGGTTACGGGTGTACATGGCGATGGTTTAAACACCACAGTGTTGCCGGTCAGTACGGCAATGGACACCTGGGAGATTGGAGTGTGGTGTGTGATATGAAGGATGAGGCAATAGACATTCCAGGTATGAAAGGTGTGCACTGGTCTATGAACGTCCCCGTGTGTAGCGCTAAGTAGATCTAATAATGTAACGGGCCTTAATTGGGGCGGTTTAAACACATCTATCACCAGTTACGATGTCAGGGTATGTGATGGTATAGAGACATAACGTAAGTCTGGCATGGCATTGGATCTCTTTGCTGTAATAGGGAAGCATTTACATGCCACCAAATTGCTCTACATTGGCAATAAAACTTGGGCTGTCTGGTGCATTTAAACACATCTGAGTAATATGGACGCGCACAATCATTGTTGTTCGATAATACTTGTACTCAGAGTCGTATTTGTATATATACCTGCATATATTTCCGGGTCTGCAGAACCGGATTTGGACGATCACAATTGTATAGGATTGGATAGTATCAACGCATACAGGGTTTGATACAATATATCAGCAATCAAGAATTCGAACATGCATGAATATATATATATATATATATATATATATATATATTGCCAGTGTAGAGTTGGTATGGCTCCGATATATATATATATATATATATATATATCCATACATATACATATATACACAAACTGCAAAATCTGTTAACTGTACTACTTGCCTGTTCCATCAGCATACTGGGTGGGATTGTATTGCACACGTTCAGAAATATACCAATCCATACCTTGGTGGCCGCAATGAGCAACGGAAAATTCCACGGGGCAATTGCACCCACAACACCGAGAGGCTTGTACACCAATGTAGCACGTTCCTTGTTCGTATCCCGGAGAATCTGTATGCGATTATGGAGGCCAAAGATGAGTATAATTGAACGCGGATACTGCTTTGTACATACTCTACATACTTGCTGTGCACGGTTCAGGCACGTAGTTTGATGATTCTAAAGAACTTCTGAAAGCTTAAGTCGTCTATTATTGGGTTAAGTACGAAGCCTACAATCGGAGCAATACGTTTGACAGGACCACTCAATTGATAGCCATAGACATATACTTGCAAGCCTTTACGGCTGATACTAACAACAACTGTGACAGCTCTATTCACTTGTGTTACATAATCAGAACTGCCAGATACGCTCACAGATGCTTGTATCTACATCAAGGACGGTATCCTTCCGGGTTGATTAATCTGTGTAGTTTTGTTGGACTTCTAAGTGGCCAACAAACAGTGCACATCATGAGGCATGCAGATCAATTGGGTGCTTTATATATCACACTTCACCTGGCTCGACTTAAGCACCAGCCTACTTTGATTTTCCCTACACTGCATCCCCCGCAGGTTTCTAGATATACATCGGATACAAACCTATAATCATGTACCTTCGAATCGATGACTGAGGTGTCTTGTTTGAGCTTCATCTGGTCCACGGTAGCCCGGACTTCAAACCGTGCATCTCGGAGAGGCTTGCCTTGCTCAAGCGTTAACCAATGCGCTAATTCGTCGCTGTGTTCTGCGATCTTATCGGCGGCGTTGAATAACATTTTCTCGCGCTCCTGAGTAAGGTGAAGGTATCGATTATTACTTCGCATGAGATCGAGAGAGAGAGAGACACACACACACACAAACACTCAGACACACACATATATTCATAATATAATATACAGATACATATATAATATATAATATATAAGCATATACATATACATAT